GGCCCTATCGCCCTGCTGCAGGCGAGATGGGGGCTGCCCGATAGACCTCGCGCCGTTTCGGGGTGACGGGACCCCCCTGCCCATCCGGCAGCTGATCTGTGGCTGCAGAGCCTCAAGGAGGGGCAGTTCGACCACATGTCAGGCGCCTGCACATTTTCCCCCTGCTTATGCGACGTGTTTATCGGGAGCAACAGCCCCTGGTTGGGAAGGGGGGAAAAAAAAAACAACACAACACCACCCCAGCAAACCAACCCAAACAAACACGAGATAGTGAACCCTCCGAGGAAGGGGCTGGTGAGCAGCCTAACAAGCACCGTGCACACCAGCAGTCTGGGGCTCACCCCTCACTCACTTTCTGCTTGCTCCCCAGTCCTCCACTTTTGAGGGGTTTCTCCCCCAGGAGGAGGTATGAACGTACAGAGCGTTGTTTCAGTGGTTGCTTTGTCTAAAAACCATGCACACACACGCCAGCCTCCAAGATGGTGCCCTGAACCCTGCTTGCTTTTTTCTCCTTAGTCCCTACCAAATCCCCCATGGCAAGTCCATCTACTGCAGCCTGGAAGCAGTTGTCTTGAGCTGCTCTATTCCCTCCTTTCCCATCTCCAGCCCGCATTGTGCCAAATGCTCACCCCATCCCCAACTCAAAAGCAACAGCCATGTCCTGCTGGGAGGCGAAGGGAATACCCTGGACCTTGGGCAGCACAGGGATGGGAGGTTTTCCAGGCAGGAGGCTGAGCCCCAGCCAGAGTGAACCCCAGCTCTGCATGCATGTGATGGGGAACCAGCTGCTGAGCTCAGCACCTGGCCTCTCGCACCACCCCCTGGGTTGCCCAAGGGCCTCACGTGTGATGAAATTCTGGAACCCAGTTTTACTGGAATTTGTGACTTAGGAAGGGGGTTGCCCCACCCGGGGAAAGCAGTTGCTGCAGCTGTGTCCACGGAGGAGCGGGTCTGCATGTGCCTGCACCCCTCTGCCCCAGGCGCCACTGCTGTCACGGTGAGGCAACCACATGCTGAGCAGAGCTGCTCTGCCTTAACTCTCCCCACTGTAGCTGTCACTGTGTCATGATGCTCCACTCCCATCCCCACACCTTGCAAAGCTCCAGCCTCCCAGCTGGTGCATCCATCACCTCCATCCAAGGTCCTCCTTGAGCCCTTCACCTTCCTCTTTTCAGACAGTGCCTCCAGCCTTGGTGTGAGCCCGCAATTAGGGCTTTTCTGTAATTACAGCAGACTCTCTATAGAGCAGCAGCTCATGTATACATTGGGATGGGGCTCAACGAGGAGCAGTCATGTCCAGGTCCTTCACTCTACCAAAAAAGCCATATGCTTCATCCAAAAACAGGAACAAAGTATTTTGAGATCTCCCTGATACCCCCTGGGTTCTATACATACTGTTTATTTACTCTGCCAGCAATTTGCAGTGCTGTCTGCCCCCACCAATTCTGTATTTACTAACACAGCCCAGGCTTGTCTCGCTCTCCATGGGGCTGAGGATCCACATAGGATTTTTAGAGCAGTGTGGTGAAGCAGTTTCCCCCTGAAACCCAAAGGTAGAGTACACAGCTGGATAACAGCACTGCAGGTCTCCTCATTCTCTCTGTCCAGGGGCTGGGGGTGCTCCTGGTGCTTTCCCTCCCCAGATCCAGACAGAGAGAAGATATGGGTCAGGGTGCCCCAAAATCACTCAGGAATCTGGAAAAATTATGCCCCCCACACTGCCACACTGCATTAGAGAAATGCTCCCCTCAACAAACACGTATTTCTCAGCGACAGGGGAAGATTTTATTAAGTTAAAAGTTGAAGGGTGCAGCAGAGCAGCAGCAGCTGCCACCTTTGGGGGAGTTGGCTCTGGCAGGTGCAGTAGCAGCCTCACAGCTCCTCTTCCCCAGAAAGGAAAAGCCCCATGGCTCTGGGCTCTTGCCAATTCAGGTTCTTGAAGTAGCCAAAGGACACTCACGGGGAGAGCTCGATCATGCAGACTCTTGCCAAGGTCTCCTGTTTCAAAAGTCCCAGGCAAGTATGTCCATGGCAGACTGCCCCAGCAGCTCCCTCCTATGGCTTGCATGTCTTCTCCACAGGTCCCTGGGGGTGCCACGGGGAGAGGAAGTGTGTCCTCACCATACATCCCAGGGTGGATGCAGAGGTATTTGGAAGAGAGGGAGTATGTGCTGAAGGTGGCTGTGTGGTCGGCAGCACCAGGGCTGGGGCAGAAAGGAAAAGCAGATTCTCTTTTTCAGGTTAGAAAACATTGGTGATGTAGCAAAAGTTTTCCTCCTCCTCTTCCCCTTCTTCCCGAGGAGAAAAAAATCCTTTATAAAATATAATTTTTACATATAAAATCCTGAAGAAGGTGCATGTAAGGAGCCAGTCCAAACAATGTGCTCAGGTACGCAGACAAAAGGGTTCATCAAAAAAGCTTTGGGAGGGCAGTGAGGAGGCTGGGGAGGTGGGTGAGATTCCTCGCCAAGGCGATAACGGATGGGATTCAACCTCCCCCTCCCTGCAAGTGAGGAGTGGAGCAAATACAAAACAAGAACAGATAAACAAACGGAGAGCAGACCTAGAGAGAGACAAAACCAGAAATGGTTTAGAAAGACTCCACTGAGCACAGCAACACTGTCCCTTCTGGTCTCCTCCCGGGAGATGGCTGTGTGGCAGCCTACAACACACCCACCCATCTTGGTGGCCACCAGCAAGCACTAGTGGATCAGGGTGACCCCAATCCCAATGGGGTTTGGATCCCGAGGCAAGAAGCAGAAGCGCTCTGGACAATGGGACACCCTTGTTCCTGTCACCCTGCTTCCCTCCCCAGCTGTGACAGGGATGGCCGCAGGCAAGTGTGGAGAGCTGAGTCTAGTCAGGGCTGCTTTGGTGCAGACCTAAAATTTCTGTGCTGTGATAGGGAAATGGCTTCAAAGGCAAATTCAGAAACATCACCTACGTAGGTAGGATATAGCTGCCCCCACGCTGCCACTCAAACCATGGGGTGAAGGCCAGCACGTAGCTGGCTCCCACCTGCAGCCTGGTTGAGCAGTGCTTGGTATCAAGAGCAACACAGTGAGAAAGGGGCTAGTGACCTTCGGAGAACATCAGGGATGCCAGGAGGGTCAGGGATGCAGGATGAGAGGATGCACGAAATAGAGAAGGAAGAGTATAAGGCTAAAGCTTCAGCACTGAGTGGAGCAGGAGGAACAGGCAGCTTCCATGCACCATCAAAGCGGGGCAGCCAGTCTCAGCCACCTGTGCCCGCAGGGGACATCACAACATCCCTGGTGCTCACCATTACTTGCCGACGCTGTTGCACAGTGACTCCTTCTCCTGCAGAGCTGCCATGGCCAGGCGCAGGTGCTCCTTCAGCTGCTCGATCTCTCGCTCTGAGCGCACCTTAATGTGATTCAGCTCCGCATAGACATCTTGGTATTTCCCTGAGGCAAATCTCTTATCCTGCCAGGAGAGGGAGAGGGGGTCAGCAGGTTTTAGGGCTGACACTAGGGAGGAGGGCAGCAAGGAGAGACAAGCAGGAGAACGGCCAGCAGGTGAGGAGGGGAAACCCAGCCCTGGGTTTGCTGCCCGTATCAATCCAGGCCAAGCAGAGGTATTCAGAAGAAGAATGTGGAGGCAGCACTTCCCAAGCCCTGGGCTGGGAAGGAAGGCAGAGTCATTGGTCCCACAGCAGCAGGGATCTGCACGATCTGATTGCAGAAGCAATCTAGTCTTTACCATGGCTCGTGGGTGTTTGGCCCAGCCGTATGTGAAAAATAAACCCCAGCAGAGATGCAGGCCACTGAAAGGGCTGGTACCAGCCAGTTATATGGCAAGAAGCTTAAGTGAGAAAGGTACAAATTCCTAGAGCATCGCTGAATCTCAAAGCCTCTTTCAGGTTCTCCTTTGGCAGGGGTCTTTGAAAATCCCCCTGAAAGAGCTGCTGCCTGCGGAGGGAGCAGCAGACCCAGCAGCAGCGCCCAAGGAAGTGTGTCCATCTAGTAAGGAGACAGCTAGGGGAAGAGAAGGTGGCTGGGGAAGAGGAATGCGGGGCAGGCTTCATCCAGGCTTCCCACCTGGAAAAGAAGGACTCCTGGCTTGTCAATGCTTTTATGTACATACATCTTGGGAAACCAGCAGCAAAGTATCTGTGACTTTTCCCCTGTACAAGTCAAGTCTGCACCAGCTTGTGCCGTGACTGATGTGTGCTTGGGAGCAAGCAGGGACGAGGAGTACAGGTGACAAGAGGCTTTGGCCTGAGCATCCCATCAAACCCAGCTGAACCCTGCTGAGATGCAGCCCTGGGGCTCCCTTTCCTCTGCTCTCCTGCTGCCTTCCCAATGGCTCCCAGAAAACACCAACCTTTTGCATCATCTGCAGCTCCTCCCGGAGGCACTGCACCTCTTTTTTGAGGTACTGGAGTTCGTTCTCCTTCACGCGCAGCAGCACCTGGGCCAGGGAGAGGAGAGAGGAACCAGAGGTGACTCAAGAGCCACCACCTCGGATGGGCCAGCGGGCTCTGGCGCAAGCGCAGCGGTGGAAAAGGAAGGAAGGGCCAGGAGGGCCCGGGCAGGAAGCAGCGCGGGTGCCTTGGGAGAGCGGCCGGAGGGGAAGCTTGCGTACCTCCTTCCTGCACCGGCCTGCTGCTCATTCCCGCACCCCCTCCAACCCCTTCCGAGCCCTGACTGCCACGAGGAGAAGCCCCCTGGCAGGGAGCGGGGACGGAGGCAGCGGGGCAGCCCGTGGGCACTGCCGTACCTCCAGCTCGCAGGAGCTGCGCTCGTTGCTGTGCGCGGAGCGGTCCCCGGAGCTTCGCGAGGAAATGAAGCTGCGCAGCTTCCCGATCTCATCCGAGAGGCGGGGCTGCAGCTCCTGCGGGGGGACATCCGAGACTGGTAGCCAGCCGGTCCAGACAGCCTCTCCACTGTCCTGACCTCTCCACCTTCATGCCAGCCCTGCTCCAGCTTAGAGACCTCCTTGTAACCCCCTGCCCGTACGTGACAGTGGCACCTACAACCAGCAGCAAGTACACTTGCTGCATTTAACAGCACAGTTAGGACAGGCCCATCCACAGCCTCCAACTTTTGTTTTCTCCTTTCTGATGATAACATCTCAGAAAGGAAGAAATATGAACAAATAAGGGAGTTTCATCAGAGAGGCTGTGCCGCGAGAGGCAGGAATGTGCTCCATGCTCTCTGTTGGCAGGAAAAGCCCCTCTCTTGCCTGGTTTTTCCGGAGGAGCTCCTTCCCCTCCTGCTGACAGCGGAGCAGCGTCTGCTCCCGCTCTTCTGCCTGCTGGGTGAGTTCTCCAATTTCCAGGCACTTTTGGGAGTACTGTTCAGAAAGCACCTGCAGCTCCCGCTTCAGGGAATCGATGTCCAGCCTGTCAAAGAGGCACCAGCTCATTGCTGCCCTGCAGTCCTTGCCAGCCCCTGGCCACTGGCATCACTTTCCCCCCTGCCACAGGCCACAACAGTCATTGGCACAAAATAATGTCCCCTGTGGTCCAAAGCTTCAGTTCCCACCCCCGGTTGCATGGTGCTCTAGGAGCTTCAAGTCATGCAGGAGAAATGTAAAGAAAACAGAGGGAAGAAGCTGTAGGGAAAACAGGTGCTATAGAGAAAATAGCCAAGCAGGGGGTAAACCCACCTGCCCTACAGCTCGAGCAGCCCTGGCAGTCACCACTGGACACCCACTGCCCCTGGAGAGGGAGCTGGGGAGGTGACAGGGAGGACAGCTGGGGGCTACAGCTGCAGGTGTGGTGTGGTGACACTGGTACAGGGTGGAAGCATCAGGAAAGGGGAGTGGGAGAGGTAGGTTTCTTACTGGTGCTGCTTCTGGAGGGCATCGGAGATGGAGCCACACTGCTGGAAGCTTCGTGACCTGCCCAGCTCCTTATTCATCTCCTCCCGGTGGGCTTTCTTCAGTGCCTCGATGGCTGGGGAGGGGGACAACAGGAGATGGGCAATCAGGCTGTCTCAGCTCTGGCACACCAGGGTGAAACCATGCCAGGAAACCAGCCAAGCTCTTGCTGTTGCAGGCTCCCAGACCTGTCTTTGCAGGTTCCCCTCCATCCCTTCTGCCCTTACGGCATCGCCCACCTTTTCCACACCCCAGGATCATCCTGATACGCCAAGTGCTGCCATGGCAACTAACACAGGGCAGCGTGGGAGATCCCAGCCAGCTCTGCCAGTCCTGCCTGCTTACAAGATGGTGCTGAGCAACAGCCTCACACCAGTAAAGGTCAGCAGGGTGTCCCCAGATGACTGGTTTCTTGCAAGAGATATCTGGGAGAGGCGGGAGGGCCTCCCCTCCCCCGAAGGAGGGCACAGCTTGGTGTCTGCTCCTACCCGCTGCCGTCGCCGCAGCCTCCTCTGCCAGGAGCCGCTCCTTCTCCTGCCGCAGCCGCTCCAGCTCCCGCTGGTGGTGCCTCTGGAGCTCCTCCATCACTTGCTGGTGGGATGACTCCATCTCAGCCAGGCTGCGCTCACAGGCCTCCTGCCATGCAGGGGAAAAGAGGGGTGAGGGACCCAAAGGTCCTAGGCATGGACGTGGCTCGGGCCACGACAGGCACCTGACCAGACTGATGTTTGGCTTTACAAACCTTACCCAAGTCCAGGGCTATTTTGAGAGAAGCAAGAGCACTTCAGAAGGAAAAGAACATCCTGGGAAAGTGAGGTGGCATTTTCATCACAGAACACAACTATTTGACAGGGCCACACATTTTGCAAGCGCTGCATGCAATGAGGAGAGAGAAGTGTTCGTCTTGCTTTTCTTGAACTTGAAGAAACAAGACATGGACATTTTTCTTGTGCCAAGAGCTGGGAATAATGTGCCTGGAACCCAAGCCCAGACCCTTCCACCAGACTGTATTGCCAGCTGGAGGAGATCAACAGCAGGAACCACATCTCAGTATCTGCCTTTTAAATGAAGCAGCATCCCCCAGAATCAATG